GGGAATCACCCTAAGAACTGGGATACTGTTCAGCCTTAAAAAGCAGAAATCTTATCATTTTACATGCAGAATCTAAAACAGTTGCTCTCATAGAATTAGAAAGCGGAAAGGGGGAAGTTACTTGTTTTCTATGGGAAACGGTAACTGGAGGTTGCAGGAACTCACCATGATTCAGTAGGGAGGCAGGCCAGACCATGGTGATAACAGTTTCCATTTATTGAGCACCCATTCTGTGGTATTTGCTTTCCATTTACTAACACAATAATGATAACTACTATCCTATGCAAGATAGATATTATTATCTCATTTGACAGACCAGGGAATTGAGGCTCAGAGGGGTTAAAGATTGCCCAAAATTACATAGCCAAAATGCAGGTCACCTGGGATCCAAAATACATCCTCTTCTCTCTCCGCTGGCCATTCATTCAACAACTCTTTATGCAACATCTGTATGCACCTGAAGCTGAGGCGACAGTAGGAGACAGCAGGGACACAGATGGAGGCACTTTCATTCTAGTGGTGCCGTCTCTCCTGGCCAGAGTTCTTAAGGGCTCAGCCCCAAAGTTCAGCTCTCCCCCAAGGGGCAGTGTCTCTGCTAACTCTTGAGTGCGAGGAGTGGTTCCAGCACTGGGTAGGAAGCGGATTCCAATGCCACCAGCTATGTGTGGGTCAGTAGCCCTCCCTGTACATCCGCATTTTTCCCTGTGCGGGAAGGGGCGGGCTATATGCTAAGCTCCCTTGACCTGTACATTGGCACCCGCCTGCAACTTCGTACAGCCTCAGAGCCTCAGGCCCAATCCAGACTTCCGGAGAATCATAACGTGCATTTTAATAAGGTCCTCTAGGTGATTCATGCACACACTGTAATTTGAGAAGCTCTGGCGAAATCTGGCTTCTCTTACCTTCTCTCATTTTAATAACCTCTGGCTGGGGCAGTGGCTCACCAGCAGGGGGCGCCGTAGGGAGGGGTTTCAAGGTGCACGGCCTGTACCCAGGTGAATCCTTCCCTTTCTCCTCCCTTCTGGACCTACACTGCTAGCTAACTTGACTGACTCCTGGGATCCTCGGCTCCTACCTTGACTCGATGGGACTTTGCCAATAGAAAAGGACACTCTCCCCGACTCCTTATGGACCCTGGGAGGCAGGAGTCGGCCAGGAAGCTCTAGGCCACTCCTACCTGATTCTCCGCCCACCTCCACTTGTAGGCTGGCCTGGCTGACCGAGTCTGGCTGACCTGTCTATTTCTCAGAAGGAACTACTGTTCCGGGACAAGCCAGCAACCTCTGGGAGGAATTAGCCAGAAAGGTGAGCCCCTTTCTGGGGCACCTGGAGGTGGGTGGGCACTGCAGCGGGGTCACCTGGACTCAGGGGAGGGGCGAGGCCAGAGTGTGGGGATCTTCTGTGGCAGGAGAGGAAAAGGGCCCCTGCTGCTGGGTGCTGCTGGGCTGATCTGTGCACTGTAGAAATGTGGGCATCGCTAATGAGCGCTGGCGGTGACTCAGCCGCGGCCTCACTCATCCCAGTGCTTTTATGTCCGGTAATGATAACTGGAGATCTAGCAGATGTTGGGAGGTGCGGTGAGAACAATGAGGGAGAAGGGTTGAGTTTAACAGATCTGAGCAGCACTTTGCAGCAGGACTCTGGATCTTTGTGCTGGAGAAAGCAACTACCTAGGGACAGGCGATGGCAGGATTCTCAAGGGCCCTCATTTTAGGGAAATGCTATTCAGGACAATCTGGGGCCTGGAGCAAGACAAACTGGAGGAATGGGTGTGTGTGTGKGGGGGGGGGCGGTATGGAGTTGGGAGGCTCCAAACCATACTTGAATAACTGTAGTGCTGCAGGTTCTGTTCAGCAAAACTGGGGACCTTTTCCCCTCCTGGGGCTAGGGGGAGGATGGACTGAGGGTCAATGCAATCTGCAAGAGCTCTCAGCCTGGGGCCCCAGGGCTGAGTTGGGGGAGGAGCTAACCTGCTAGGTAAATGAATGGTCTCCTCTTGAAGGGCCCCTGAGGCTTTGGGGCTGGTACATACATACCAGCTACTCTGGGTGGGGATGCTGGGCCAAGGGACATCACTGCACCACKCAGTGAGGTGGGGAGGATTTGGACTCTGGTCTTGGGAGGCCCCAAGAAGGTTGTTGCTGTAGAAACRAAGTGGGTCCCCCCCTTCCCTTCCCACTAGCTGGCTGGTCCCCTGACACTAGTGCATTGGTGGGCAGGGGGTAAAGCACATCACTCATGGAACCAAGGGCGTGCCGTTAGGTCCTTCTATTTCTTTTTACTCTATTTCTATTTCTTTCTTGTCCAGCTTCATTCCCTCTAGAGGAGGAAAGAAAGGCCTGGGACAAAAGGATGGGCGGGGAGGGTGAGGGGTGTTTCTGAAAGTCCTTGTCATCCTGGCACATCCTTCCTTTCTGTCTTCAGTTGGTGCTTAATAGTCCCCGTCCGTCCTGATCTATGAAATGAGATACAAATAACACCAGCTCTTTGAGGATCAAATGAGATGAGCCATGGAGAGGGCAGCGGTGCAGAGGGAAGCTCCATAAATGATAGCTATTATCAGAGTTAAAATTATGAATATGGAAGCACCAAAAGAAAGGGATGGAACCTGAGGAGTAGCTCGAATCCACCTTCCCACCAGATGTGGGGCACTGTCAGCTCACCCGAGTCACCTGTGTGCCCTGCAGGCAGGCTGGCTGAAGAGGCTGGCACACTGACCGCAGGGTCAGGTTTTAAGGCACAGGGGGCAATGCAAGCCTCCCTTCCGGTCCACATCTTCAGTGAGGAAGCCMGGTAAAGAGGCCCCACCTTGAGTCCATCCCGAGGACATAGAGGAGCTTCTGCCCTGTCAGAAGAGGGTGGGAAGGGGGCTTAGTTTTCCTGGRGAAGGAAAGAAGGTAGGCAAAACCTCAGCTCCAGGTGGGTGGTGTGAGAGAAGGAGCAGGACGTAATAGATGCCAGAACTTTTTCAGTGGAGATCCTGGTGAATCAACCCGAGGGGATTCTGAGGACTTGGAAGGAGYACATCCTGCCTCACAGATCTCAGCCGCCAAGTGAATGAATTCCACTCCCTCAGCAGCTCCTTGAGAGCTGAATAAGACGTCATCTTTGACAGGACCGAACTTCCCACAGTGCCTGATACACAGCCGGTGCTCAGGAAATACTCATTTGGGAGAGCTGCATGTGGCGGCAGATGATCAAGAGCTGCTCAGGCTGGTGGGATGGCGATGGAGAGAGATGCGCGTGGGGGAAGAGACTGCCAAGGGAGGGTTGGTGACCCAGAGAGGTTCTACTGAACAGGAGGGCTGCAGAGGGGACCCAAGGCAGGTGGGGAGAAGTGGGAAAAGTGGGAGTCAGAATGAACCCGTCCCATAGAGTGAGGGGGTGTTGGAAATCAGGGGGACTTGAAGGTGGATTAAGGAAGAGCTGGTGTTTATACTGGAGGCTGCTGGGAAGTCTTCTGTGAGGAGCAGGCCCCCACCTTTGTTTTTCTTTCTTTCTTTCTGCTTCTTTCACTTTTAACTTTTGTTACTCATGTTATATTGTGTTTGCCTGGGAGCTACCTTGGGAGTTTCTGGCAGAAGGAGGGGCATAAAGAAACAAACACATTTGGACAGTGCTTATCATCCACGAATGATATCACAGGACTTCCCTCCATCCTCAGGATCGCCTGGGACATTTCCCCTCCACCTTTAATAACTTTGGAAAAGAATGATAAAGTTTACATAAAATACGTGTTTGGTGCCATTCGTAGTCCTTGTTCACATCTTCCGCCCTCTCAATTTTCCATGGCCTTTAGTTGTGACCAGTGGGAAGAGTTTGGGGGGTATCCTTCCAGACCTGYACTGTCTTAAGACAGCAGTCACTAGTACATGTGGCCACTGAGCACTTGAACTACAGCAAGTCCCAGCTGAGATGTGCCTTAAGTGTAAAATACACACGGAATTCACAGACTTGGTGTTGGAAAAAGAATGGAAGATATCGCAATAAATTTATATTAATTGACTGCTGAAATAATATTTTGAATGTATTGGGTTAAATAAAAATAGCATTAATTTGTCCTATTCCTTTTTTAATGTGGCCACCAGAACACTTAAATTTACATATTTGGCTTGCATTTTGTTTTTATTGCGCACGACGACTCCAAATCTTTCTCTGCACATTTATATCTACACACACACACACCCATAAACCCATATCTATACGTATACACTTGTCTTTTTTGCAGTGCTGGGGATTGAACCTAGGGCCTCTCACATGCTAAGCATACACTCTACCGCCGAGCCATGCCCCCAACCTATGCCTTTTTTTTTTTTTTTACATTAATGAGATCAAAGGAGGCCTATGTGTGTCTTGCTTTTTTCACTTAAGATTTTGCTGTATCAGCCACTTGCAGATCAAGATAAAGTCCTCTTTTTCCTCCTTTTTTTTTTTTGTGTGTGTGTGTGATGTTGGGAATTGAACCCAACATCTCACTCATGCTAGGTAAGCACTCAATCACTGAGCTACATCCATAGCTTCCCCCACCCCCCACCTTTTATATTTTATTTTGAGACAGGGTTTTGCTACGTTGTTGAGGCTGGTTCTAAACTTGTGATACTCTGACTCAGCCTTCTGAGTTGCTAGTGTGCCACCACACCTGGCCAGGGTAAATATTTTGACAGGTGAAGAAACTGAGGTATACTAATCAGATAAGCATACCCATCCACAATGCCCTAGATAGCATTTGAACTCATTGTCTAAATGTAAACTCTTTCTGCCTCAGAGTTTATCTTGATGTACTAGGTCATGAAAAGTTTGTCAGAGAGAGAGAGAGAGACAGAGAGAGAGAGAGAGAGACAGAGAGAGAGAGACAGAGAGAGACAGAGAGATGGGGGAGGTGAAGGTCTATGAAAGGAATTGATCTGGCAGCTGTGCTGGAATGTGCTCCTTCACTGCAGCCACATGGAAGCCAAGTCTTGGCCTCTACAAGTCTTGACTCAACCCATTTTTTCCTCCAGGCCCTTGGCCTTGACTGGCACTGGGTGCAGGAGAGCCAGCAGCATCTAGTGACCAGGCGGATGTGCCCCCAGGAGAGTTCCTTCCAGCCCTCCCAGTTCCTCCTGCTGGTGGGGATCCCAGTGGCGAGTGCTCTCCTTCTGGTTCAGTGCCTTCGCTGGTATCGCTCTCGCTGGCTGCTGGGGACCTGTCTGAAGCCAGATGGGCAAGAAGAGCCAGTGTCCCCGTCCACTCCACTACCAGAATACGATGCTCCACGGCAGTGCCCACCAGCCACACTGCCAGAGATAGCTGCCTTCTACCAGCAATTGCACACGCCCACGCAGGGCCAGACCATCATCCGCCAGCTGATGAACAAACTGTTGGTGTTTTCGGCTCGAGAGGTGGACCACCGTGGCGGTTGCCTGATACTCCAGGATACAGGCATTTCCCTGCACATCCCTCCAGGTAGCCATTCCCAGCCTCCTCCTCAGCATACAGTTGTTGGAACTGTGCATTAGGACACCACATCTGTTCATAGGCATCTTTTTAATTTTGAAAATTGTTTTTCTAGTATAACCTTATTGGATCCAAAGACAGACATATTACTTTTCTTTTGTGACAGCTTCCTGGCAGGTGGAAGTAAAGTGCCTTGTTCTAGTGACACTATGCGTTGACAATTCTCAGATAAAAGGAAGAGCACGGTTTGCAAATCTACACAAGGCCCTGTATGGGTTAGCAGCAGCCCTGGAAGGACGGGCGCTGACTGGTTTAGGATTAGGCCATGAGTCAGCTCATGGCCGTCTCGTTCATGTGGCCTCTCTGGGCCCTGCTGGGGGCCTCTCCTGGGCTTCGGCCTACCAGCTCTCTTACTCTGGCTGACCTCTTTCCGGGRTAAGGGTGCCTGCCTACCAGACCCGGCTCAACTCTCCATCTCCCCAGGTGCTGTGGCCGTGGGCCGCCAGGAGCGGGTATCCTTGATTCTGGTGTGGGACCTGTCAGATGCCCCGTCACTGTCCAGGTCTCAGGGGCTGGTGAGCCCTGTGGTAGCATGTGGCCCCCACGGAGCCTCCTTTCTGCAGCCCTGCACCCTCACGTTCAAGCACTGTGCCCAGCAGCCCAGCTACGCCCGCACCTACAGTAGCGACACCTCCCTGCTAGATGCCAAGGCCTGGAGGCCCCTGGGTCGGCCGGGGGCCCACACGTCCCTGGATGAGTGCCGSATCCTCCTCTCCCACTTCAGGTAGGCACCTGCCCACTGGCCTGTCTTCCTGCTCCCATGTCCCCCGTGTCCCTCTCTGGGCTCTGTCCCGCTGTCCATGGCATCTTGTTTCTTTCCAACACTGTCCAGGGCTGTGCAGCCCACTCGCGTCTCTGCCTGCCTGGAAGTGTCTGTGCCTGGAGGGGGTCTGCTCCATTCCTACCAGGGTCTCTCTGCAACTGTCTCGATTTGTGTCTCTGTCCAGTACTATCTCCAAACTACTGAGGCCAGTTTGTCCCCTCCAGTTTCAACTCATGTTTGTCCTCCATCTCTGACCTTCTGGAATGTTAAGGTGTCTGATTCCCCATGTCCTTACCTCTTGTTGATGAGAGCAGGGCCATTTGTGGGGCCCCTCACAAGCATGGGGATCCTGAGCCTACCTTCCCACTCTCCCTGCCACAGAATACTCATTGGCTTTCCTCTGCACTCAGTGAGGGGCACCAGGACAYATTCACTTTGGGACACCTCTAGCAGCCAGCCCAGCCCTCTCCAGGTCCTCTCCATAGGTCCCTCTGGAGTGCTCTCYGCACCTCCTGGGAGACCTGCACTGGGCCCTTCAGGTGACAGGAGCCTGGTGGTAGATGCACTGGGGTCTGGCATTTCCCCGCCCTCCCGTGCCAKTCCCTGCCACCATCTTCCTCTGCAGCCTGTACACCTGTGTGCTAGAGGCGCCTGTGGGGCAGGCTGCCCGTAAATGGCTGCAGCTGGCCGTCTTCTGCTCGSCGCTGGTGCCTGGGCAGTCCCACCTGCAGCTGCGTGTCTACTTCCTGAACAACACGCCCTGCGCCCTGCAGTGGGCGGTGACCAACGAGCAGCCCCACGGTGGGCGCCTGCGTGGGCCCTGCCAGCTCTTCGACTTCACTGGRGCCAGAGGTGACCAGTGCCTGAAGCTCAAGTACATTTCTGACGGTGAGGCRGGTGGGGCCTGGGAACTGGAAGCAGGGAGCCCCATGAGAAAGAGGGGTCCGTGGCCRCCCCCTGGGCTGGGAACCTGGGAACCCTAAGTTTCTTTCCTGGACTCCTGGGCCAGCAGCAGCAGCAAGGAGACCCYCTGGTTTCTGCTGCTGCTCAGGAGCTTCAGGCTTTGTCCTCTTCCTCCCTCTGCTGTGTGCCCAGCCYTTGCTACCCACCCAGGACAGGGTGATGCCAGGTGGGAGGTGGGTGGTGTTGTACCCTGAAGGAATGGGGGAGGGGAAGATGGAGGCTTTTATTGTCCTCCTGGGTGGAACTGGCATGGGAGAGGGCCTCCAGTCTTTCCTTGGACCCTCTTGTCCTTATGCTAGGGCTGCTGGCATTGCCCAGGGCAAATGCCACACTATATTTGTGTGGTTGCGGGCAGGGCACACGGTGGTGGTGCACGGCTGYTTCGGGGCTGGATGGGGGATGGAGGCTGCAGGGAGAGGGAGAGGAGGGAGTATGGGGTACAAGGCCCCTTTGGTTCCCTGCCCAGGTTCTGGAGAGTTCCATCCACTGAGACCCTCCTCACTTTACTCTTCCCACAACTTCCTTTAAGATTTGTGGAAGGCCCCACCTTCTGAGCCCCTCTGCCCTCTCTCCCCTCCCCAGGTTGGGAGAATGTGGATGACAGCAGCAGCCAGCTGGTTCCCCATCTCCACATCTGGCATGGAAAGTGCCCCTTCCGCTCCTTCTGCTTCCGGAGAAAAGCAGGTAGTCCAGGAGCCCCGAGCCCTCCTGCTCCCACCCACCAACAACCCTGATATTCTGCAGCTCCACGCTGGGCTGTGCACACAGACTTTCTGTTAAGGGGGTCATTGCAGATCCTTGCAGTAYCCAGCCTCTGCTTCTTCAGAGCCCTAGTGTTCCTGTAGAGTCCCTTTGACATCTCCTCCCCTCTCACCCCCAGTCTTTTCCTCTCACATCTGTCACTTTCTACCTCCTCTTTTTAGTCAATGAGAACGAGGACTGCTCAGCATCAACCAATGAGATCATTGTCACCATGCACACCTTCCAGGATGTGAGTTGTTATTGAGGGGCAGAAGGAGGGGAGGGCCTGGGACAAGTCCCAGGTAAGGTGGGCCAGGGRTCTGGTACCTGCTGAGTATGGTCCTAATCACATAATCAAGTAGATAAAGATGCCATTTTCCACAGAACAGACATCTCACTCCCTTGTCTGTCAATGGAGGAATCCAGCGGGGAACAGAACCAGATGGTAGATTAGTCCTTCTCCCACCTCGGGGACTGAGGCAGCAAGGAGACCTGGTATCTCCTAGGTGCCTACATCTGAGAGACAAAGCCTGGTATCTCCAGTGGGAGAGTGACCAGGAAGGGGGCCTGGAGTAGGTGGGAGGGAGATAGTTCTTTCCTCCATCTCACAGCCTCAAAGGACTATATGAAGAAATCAGGGGGGTTTCATCTTAGTGGAAGGTAGACAGGGACCCTGATGTTGTCTCCTGGGAGGAAGGTGRGATGGAGGGAAGGGGGCACAAGCGCCTGAGTTTGGTATCTCCCCCCACCCCATGACCGCATCCAGGATTTCTCATGGTAGCTTAGGATGCACCCTGTATGGGTCTTCGTGTTCCAGTCCCCAAAGAGCTCAGTGGTTCAACTTGAGGTTGAATGTGGGGTTCTGGGGTCAGTGAATTAGAAGGAAGAGAGAGGGCTGGGTGGGGCATTATCTCCTGGTAAAGTGGCTCTGGGTCACAGGCTGAATCAGAGACACAAGAAATGGGGGTAGGCTCTCAGCTTCTTCTAAGGGGAATGTCTTATGACCCCAAGTGTATTCATTGCCCTTCCCTGAACTCAGGGCTTGGAAACCAAGTACATGGAGATCCTCAGATTCCAGGCATCAGAGGAAGAGTCCTGGGCAGCACCACCCCCTGTCTCCCAGCCGCCCCTGTGCAATAGGTGAGGTGAGGGGTGACCTTTCTGCCTGGGGGATGTTTGGGATTCCTTCCCCAGCACCTACAGGGCAAGTACAGCGTTTGGGGGTCTCTTTGATCCTTCCCTCCAAGAACACTYTTTCCCCCTGGCTCAGGCTGCCCCCAGAGCTCTTTGAGCAGCTGCAGATGTTATTGGAGCCAAACAGCATCACAGGCAATGACTGGAGACGACTGGCCTCTCACCTGGGGCTCTGTGGCATGAAGATCCGGTAAGAAGGGCAAGATTTGTGGATGCAAGTGGCTGGTGGGTAGGGGTAGGGAATCCTCAGGGTAGGGAATCCTCCCTGGGAACTGGACCACAGATAAGGGGATGACTTAAAACATAACAGTAGCTACTCCCTACCCTCTTTTCCGTAGAAGGGTAGCTCTACTGATCACTGTATCCTCAGTACCTAGAGTAACACCTGGCTCTTAGTAGGTCACAATAAATGAGTTAACAATGAATCAATTATCATGCAAGTCACTGGGTGCTCGTGATTACTAACAGGTAGTGTGTGTAAAGCACGGGGCTATGCACCTGGCATGTGTTCACTCAATAACTCGCATTTGTGGTGGCAGTACAGCCACAGTCCCTGTCAGAGGAATTCACAAAGAAATCTGAATAATAATAGAATAATTCTGAACCAGGTCCCAGAACCCAGGCTGTGAGTGCAGGAGTCAGGGAAGGCTTTCCCAGGAGATGGGGCTACAGCTGGACTTTGAAAATGGTGGGTTTAAAAACCAGCCACTTATTTAAGCATTTCTTCAAGACCCACTATGTCCTGCTAGCACTGCGATACAAGAATGGCAGCCGGTCCCAGCTCTCAGGAGCTCATATCCTGTGTAGTAAGGGATGCAGAGAGTTTAAAAATAAAGTCAAGTGATCTTTGTGCCTGCTTGTGTGCATCTAAGTTGCCTACCACACTGGGAAAATACACAATAGCTGAAGAGCTAGCTATGACCAGAGGAACCTGCAATTAGGGCTTCAGGGAGGAGGGGTGGGAAGAGAAGAGAGCCATTGTCTGAGGGTAGCAGCAGAGGTGGTTGTGGGTGTGGTGTGTGCAAGGTGGGACRGGGACAGGCCTCAGGAAAGGAGGCTCAGGGTGGGAGGAGGGGAGCGAGGGTCAGAAAGGCAGGGCTTCACCAGGGCGGGGGTGAGCCAGAAAGTCAGGAGCACTGGCTTGTTTAGTGGGCAGAAGACTCTGGAAGATTTTTGAGCAGCAGAGGGTCATGATAAAAGCTAAGGTTTAGAGCAACTGTTTCCTTTCTGGTGGGTAGAATGTTGTGGCCTGGGAGACAGAGAGGGGAGCCATTAAGAGCCTGGGTGAGGCAGGAGTGTGTTTGCGATGGGGGAGGTGAAGGCAATCACAGAAATCAGAGCAAGCTCAGAGGTCCTTTCATCCAAGCAGCTGAGACTCAGAGAGGAGCAGAACCGGGGAGTTAGCTTCTGAGCCCCAACAATCTGAGGTTTTAAAATCCTGGGGCCTCAGGCCACCCAAGTCCCCTGGGCCCTAGGGAGAGCAGGAGGAGACCCAGAGCTAGGCTGGAGAGGAGGGAGGGTCACAATTGTGCCTGGAGGAGAGGGGGACCCCTCCCCAGCTCGCTCCTCTTGGCTCGGGCCAGGTTCCTGTCCTGCCAGCGCAGCCCCGCTGCCGCCATCCTGGAGCTGTTTGAGGAGCAGAATGGCAGTCTGCAGGAGCTGTACGACCTCATGACCGCCATGGAGCGGCTGGACTGCGCCTCGGTCATCCAGAACTACCTGAGCCAGACACCCAGAGGCAGCCCAGCCCCCGCCCGTGGGAGCGCCCTGGACAACCAGGGCTTGGAGCTGGACGAGAAGCTCTGAGCGTCTRCTCTCGGGGGCGGGGGAAGCCGGGGGTGTGCTCCTCTGCCCAGAAAGAAAATGGCAGCTCGATGGACGTGCCCGGAGTCCTCTTCAGAAGCCACAGTCCATGACCAAGGCCATCCAAGATACCAGAGCGCTCTCACCCGCGGGCTACACCCCGACCGCCCCTGCGCCCACGAACTTTGTTCTGCGTGCAGATCCTCTCTTGGCCAGCAGGGGGCGCGGGAGCCCAGGAGATGGTCCCAGTCCGGCCAGCCTCGTAGAAGCTATTTCATAGACCAGTGGTCTGCCAGGTTGCCCCATGGGCWCCGCATAGCAACAGTTTAGTCTACAAGGGTTCACTGAACACTTAGTAAAACCCAACACTGGGCTGGGGCACTGGCGRGTACTGGAGTATCTGAGGTGAGGCCTCGAACCTTGACCAGCACAGGTTCCTTGCAGGAATCAAGATGACCTTCACATGAGCTGAGGGCAAACTCTAAAAATAGCAGGTACCTGTGGTTAGGGGGTGTGATGGTCTGCTATGGACTGTGCTTTGTTTTAGGAGTCAAGAAGGCAGGGACGTTGAATATGGCCCTGGGATAAGGAGAGGGTTTTAGGGAGGATGTTGGGTGGTGTTCAGTTGGATTTAGGGGAAAGAGCTCAACTGTGCACAGTAGGAGCCAAGAGCAAGCACAGAGGACCAGAGACATKAAAGAGCTGCCTGGGTGGGCATGAGGGAGGGTGGCAGGAAGGTTTTAGAGCTGGGCAGTCACATCTGCTGTCCACAATCTCCCCTTGCTTCCTTTGCCTCTCATGTTCCAGCTCATGCCTGTCTTCCCCTCTCTGCAGTTCTCTCTCTCATAAAGCATTCAAGCTGAGAAGAAGCTGCAAGATTAACATTCTTGCCCAGTCTTTATATCTCTTCACCTCCAACTGTGTGAGTTTTAAGTCTCTGACTTCATTTTTTTTTTGTTTTTTTGCCTCTATTTCCTGCCGTTGTTCCATCTCTAAATCTGCTCACTGACTGCCTTAGCATCTTTTTTCTCTACCCAGTTCCTGTGCCCTGTCTTTGTGGGTTTCTTTCTGTATTTGAAATCCTCAATCATTCCCCTCAGGCAAACCAATGTTAGTATATTGGAAGAGACAGGGCTACCCCAGGAATGAATGGGGCTATTTTACCCATGAAACAAGACCCAGATTAGGGTCAGAAAATAAAGAAAGGGGTCGAAGAACTTCCCACTCAGTCAACAAATACTTATTTAGCACTTACTGTGTGTTAGACACTGTATACAAAAGAGATGGATAGGCTGGGCCCTGAAAGGAGAACAGAGGATTTGACTGGATTCTAGCAATGCTTTTGTTTGCAAACAGGTGTTGTTAATCTGTTGAAGGGACAGCAGTCTCTCTGGCAACCCTAACAGTTCACTTCTATACTTAATTAAAAATATTAATGCTTTTTTATAATGAATGCTATTGTATAGTAAAGTATGAAAATTGCCTTTTCATAAAAACAGACACATAGATCTATGGAACAGAYTAGAAGGCAAACAAACACACACAGATACAGTCCTCTGATCCTTGACAAAGATGCCAAAAACACATTGGAGAAAAGAGAGCCTTTTGAACAAATGGTGCTGGGAGAACTGATTATCCATATGTAGAAAAATAAAACCAGACCTTCATCTCTCACCTTAAACAGAAGTCAGCTCGAATCAAAGGCCTAGGATTTAGACCAGAAACCATGCAACTCCTGGAAGGAAATGTAGGGTCAATACTCCAACACATAGGTGTAGGCAGTGACTTCCTCAATAGGATCCCTGAAGCTCAGGAAATAATACCAAGAGCTCATAAATAGAATGGCATTAAATTAAAGAGCTTCTGCACAGCAAAGGATATAAGTTAGAATGTGAAGAGAGAACCTACAGAATGGGAGAAAATCTTTGCTAGCTACTCTTCTGAAAGATGATTAATATCCAGAATATATAACAAACTCAGAAAAACTTAACACCAAAAAACAAAATAAAACAAACATCCCAATTTTAAAAATGGGCAAATTAACCAAATAGACACTTATCAAAAGAAGAAATACAAATGGCCAACACATATGTGAAAAAAATGTTCAACACTAGCAATTAGAAAAATGCAAATCAGAATGACACTGAGATGTCATCTCCAGCTAGCATGGCAACCATCAAGAATACAAACAATAATAAATGCTGGAGGAGATGTGGAGAAGAAGGAACACGTCCTTTTTCTTTGGGTGCTGGGGACTGAAGCCAGAAGCACTTTACCACTAAGTCACATCCCAGCCTTTTTAATTTTGATACATGGTCTCACTAAATTGCTTAGTGAGACCTCAGCCTCAGCCTCAGCCTCCCATGTTGCTGGAATTATAGGCTTGTGCCACAGTGACCGACTGAGAAAAAGGAACTTTTACGCTGTTGGAGGGATTGTCAATTAGTAGAGCCACTATGGAAATCAGTATGGAGGTTCCTCGAAAGACTAGGAATGGAACCACCATATGACCCAGCTCTACCACTTCTTGGTATTTGTCCTAAAGAATCAGCATACTGTAGCCACACATGCATACCCATGTTTATGGCAGCACAATTCATAATAGCCAAACTATGGAACTAGCCTAGGTGTCCATCAGTGGATCAGTGGATAAATAAAATGTAGTATCTGAAGGATGGAAAACAGCAACCCCCAGGGGAAAAGGGACCAACAGCCTCCAAGGAGAAAGGAGGACCATGGTTCCCAGAGGGAGCAGGCAAACAATGGGCTCTAGACTTTCACCACTTCCCAGCACAATGGGCTTTGAGTATTTATAACTGCTCCCCCTGAGCTGGGCTTTGAACTTGGCACAAGTGTTCCCCCTGACTGGCCAAACGATGCATTCTGCTATGATTCAAGATCCATTTAAACCCTATAAAAATCAGACCCCTCTTGTAACCAGTTTCCATTTTCTCTCCTGAACATGTGCCATTCCCGTTGCTTAATAAGAAAGCCTTGCTGATCCAATGAGGTCTGTCCCCATTTTGGTTATTTTTGCTTTCAGTACCTGTGTACATGGGGCTTTATTTAGCCATAAAGGAGAATGAAATTATGTCATTCGTAAGCAACTGGGTGGAACTTGAGGACACCATGTTAAGTGAAGTAAGCCAAACTGAGAAAATCGAAGATCACATATTTCCTCTCATATGTGGAAGTTAGAGAGGAAAAAGGAAAAAAAAAAAAAGAAGTTTCAGAAGGTGATCTCATGAAAATTGAAGGGAGACCAATGGARTAGAAGAACAGGGAGGGGGAGGAGGAAAAGGAGAAATGCTGGGGAATGCTATTGGCCAAATTATCTGGTCATGTCATGTGCATGTACAAATATGTAACCGTGAATCTGTACAGGGAATTATGTATAATTACAATGCACCAATAAAAAAATGTAGAAAAAAAGAAGAAAATTGTCTTTCTTTGTTATTAACTGTATTTTGCTCCGATTGGTAAATTTGGGTGTAGATATGAGTAGTTAAATTATACCCATGAGTAAGGGCTAGAGGGAAGCATTTGGTAGGTTGTGCTTTCGGTGTGAACATTGTCCAGCATGATCAGTCAGGCAGATTCATTTCCCTTTCTGAAGAAGCAAGGCTTCAGAATTGAGCTCTACTTGTCCTCTCCTCTCTTCTTTCCACCCCACTGGGGCTGCCGGTCACTCTGGGTTGGTTCCTTGGCCTTTATCCCATTGCTTGGCTCAAAATTGACCCATGAAGGCCACCTTCCTCCCCTGACACCCTTGCTCTGTTTTCTTATGGTCTCCCATGGGCTCTTCCCAGCCCTTCAGTCCAGTCTAAAGACATCTTTGCATTCCTTCCTACTCCGGAACAAATCATTTAAAAGGTTTCAGGTCTCCAGGTGTTATGAACAGAAACCGTGGGGGTTTCTGGGATGGGATAGAAGGCTTTCTGGTCCAATTCCAATTTCTCAGAATGGGTTCCCAGGGCTGGCAGAGGGATGCTTAGAAATCCTGGGGCAGGTGCAGGCTGGGTGATTCCCATAGAAGGGTCCATTCCTTTCTCAAATCAAACCTGTATGTATTTACAGCACCTAAAGCTGAGACAAGATGTGTTCTAAGGGGTGTTGGGGACTTAATGCTTAGCCATGACTATCGGGCTGACTCAACAGCTCTCATGTCTATGGGCATGAGTCTCTCCACCCTTGTAACAAACTGACCATATTACAGGCTCGTCAAGGGTCCCCTTCGAGTCCACAGACTGTGAAGAGATGGCACGCTGATGACCCAAGGAAGATTCACTGAGCCAGAGACTTTTCCTTTGTGTGTTGCCTTTGGATGGAACAATTGATCACGGCTTTATGGCCTCACCTCCAGCCCTTTCCTTAATAGGTTACAGCCTGGTCCCTAAAACAAATTCATGACTTCTGCCTTGTGGGTATCATAGTATGAGAAATAGAAAGTCTAGGGGTCTATTTTCAGAATACAGTATTTAGCTTTAAGTGTCAAATGACTTGGGATGTAAGAAAGGCAGCTGCAGGGGGCGAGCAGAATGAAAAGTCAAGAGCAGTTAACACCCAGGGTACAACTTCACAGCCCCTTGACAAACAGGAGGTGAGAGGGAACCCGGCACCRACCAACAGAGAGAAACTGTGTATATGCCCAAAGGCGCTCAATCCAAGGGACTTTAGTGCCACAAGAGAACAAAGTGGGGTGGGGGCGGGGGAGGTGCAGACAACTAAAGGTATATTTTGTTAGCCAGTAGGAGACAGCAAGACCTAGGTGGTGTTTGGGGGGATTGTGCACCCTACACTACCCAGCCAATGAGAAACCAGGGAGGGATCTTATGCTCTAGGGGATAAAACACTATTTTTTTTTTTTTTACCCAATCTGTGTGTCCCTGACCACCAGGCACCAGATCTTGCAAGACCATTACTAAAGTAGAACCTCCCTTTTTGCTGTTCCTTGTGTCTCTGGGTCCATTCTTTGGGCTTGGATAGGTGAGCATGTTTCTCACAACTGAGGCCCACGTCTGAACTTCCACCTGTTGGGATCAGAGTGTGGGTTGGTTTGGGGGTTGAGGAAGTAGGTGGGGTCTAGTTAGAGCCTCCAGTGCTCAGGGATACCCTGTGCTCAGCATCCCTTCCGACTGCTGAGTGGTATTCATGCTGATGTCCGGATCTGCAGTGTCCAACAGAAGTACAATGAAAGCCAGATATATAATCTTACACATTC